CAAATCTGTCATTCTATACATCCAAATTCTAACAGGGGTATAAGTTCATAATGACGTCTGGATTGTTTTCATATATCTCTTCCTAATTTTTGGTCGCTGAATTAGCAAATTTAAATTCGGTGAAATGTTTTCAGGGAAGATTTTTTAAAAAGAGATCGTTTTCCAACTTCAATAATAAATACTTACTAGATAGAGACGCGCCGATAGTTGCTTTGACAAACCATAACGCGTAAACCGTTACTAATTTTGATAATGTACATAAAATCATGACTCGTCAGTCACTGATATTCATCGAGAATTTTGATGAGGAGTGAAATGGGAGGTCAATTAAAATCTCAAACGAATTTTTATACTGAGTGCCATCTTAAAAAAGGTGGGGTGTCGAGATCGGTACAAAAAATATTCAACGACACTTAAAAGAACAATCGGTTGGGACTGACAAAAATATTTGCATACGTCTAGATACAAAATAAATTCACATCATTTATATCAGTTGACATGTACTCGCTCTTTAAATGCCGTTATCAATGAATTTGTTTTTATCATTTTCATCAATTTTGAAGTAGATATATAAGTGGTTTGAGGCCCCCAGATCCGATTTGGAACCTAAGAATCGGCTTTTTCCCCATATCTAACTGAAATTATATTGATTATGGACTCCAGCTCTTTATATTTATAAATGTAAACCATACCTCTCACTTTAATCCAGAAGGTTGAGCTCTTGCTCCCTTCGCTGTTTTTGGCGCTGCATGTGTATTGGCCAGAGTCCTCCCTTCTCGCTTGACGAATCGTGAGAATGTTGTTGTTACCGAGACTCACCCCATCCTTAGTCCAGCTTACCTCAGGTGTAGGGAAACCTCTTAGAAAGCAATTGAACTGAAGCGATGAATTATATCCAATCAACTGATTCTTGAGCTCAGGATTGATTTCAGGAGGACCTTGGCATAGAGTTGAAAAACACAATTCAAAGTCGGTGAAAAATAATAAAACAAGAAAAACAGAAAAACAGAAAAACAAAGAGAATAACTAAATGAGTAAAAGTAAAATAAGACTAGTCTGTGACATTTGGTCCGAAAAGCTGCTTTCCTTCCCCTCTCAGTTTTTTAACAAATGCCGTATTACACTGGATGCATATTGACCAGCTACTCCATAATTCACTCGATTAATAATGGTGACCATGTTTGTGTTACCAAATAACTTTCCATCCTTTGTCCAATTCAACTCTGTTTTACGAGAAACACCTCATGAAGTATTTCCCTCGAGTTGTTTAATCTGATTTGACGGCCTTTCATTGCCGATAATTAATTTAAAGAGGACCTTTATCTAACGCCCCTTATCATCTCCACTCTCATTCCTTTTAACTGTCGCTCACTTCCTTGTTGTAAGTTTCTGGTCTTTCCCTTCCTCTCCTCTGCTGTTATGATCAATATATTTTTTGCACTGATAAAACACTAAGCCGTTGCCAACAAAAATCACGCTAGTTCTGCACGAGAATACAATATATATATATTTCTTCCACTAGAGAAAAATTGCCATTATTTTGAATGACAAATAAAAATCTAGTTTTTAATCGGTAATATTAAAACTCGGGCTAAGTGCGCGCTATTTATCTTCCCCCTCCCTTTTCTCTTTTTTTTTCGCGAGGATAACGGGATAAGTTTCTATTGAAACTGTGATCTGCGTCGTTTGAAGATTCGTGAGGTTGTTGTTCTTACAAATATTTACCCCAGCCTTATTCCACAGTGCCTCAGGTGCAGGAAAACATCTTAGAGAGCGATTGAAGTGAAGCAATTGATTATATGGAACCCACCAATTCTCGAGAAGATGATTAACTTCAGGGGGACTTGGGGACGGAGTTCACGAGCATAATTTAAAAAAAGGGGGTAAGTAAACTCAAGATAAAAGAATAAACTTGAATTAAGATTTATCTGCAACCACGATCTGAAAGGCTGCTTCCCGTTTCTCTTCACTGTTTTATACCAGTTCAACTGAAGCGGTAAGTTATAGGTAACCGACTGATTCTTGAGCTGAGGATTAATTTCAGGAGGACCTGGGCACGGAATTAACAAGCACAATGCAAAAAAAGGTGT